TCTGCTCCTATGATGCTGCTTGGCCTGCTGTGTTCATCCAGCCCTGCACCTTGTTGTCTCGGATTCTCCAGCATCTGCAGTTCCTACTATCTCTAAACATTGTAGGATTTCTACTTACTGCACAAGGTGAAGGGGAGGCTTAAGAGGATTTTCCTGATAATAAGGAGATTTGATGGAGTAAATAAGAGAGATGATTTCCAGTGGTAAGAGGGCCGATAAGTAAAGGGCAGTTTTAGGATAATTAACAAAGCAGCCCTGTGTTTTCCCTCCCCTGTCCCCTCTCCCCATTGCGGTGATCGGGGACACAGTCTGAAGCGGAAACAAAAAGGAGATTCTCCTCTAGAAGGGCAATTTGAAACTCCTGAAAGGGAGAAATATGTGTAAGGCTATGAAGAGAACATGGGAGTGACACAACTTGCTTTTTCAAAGAGCCAGCACAGAAGCGAGGGGCCGATTAGCCTGTTATGATTGCCCTCTCCGCCAGCCTGAACTCCCACCTCAGAGTCCAGTTGGAGACAAACCGCCGACTCACTTAATCCAAGCGGAAACCAACTTTTCCTCATTAAATAACGGGTTGGGATTCAGATAAAGCTCCAGGGAGGGAGGGGATGGTTTTCGATTAGAGCAGTTCAGCCTCTCACTAGGACAAGGTTTCTATGGCGACAGCTCTCTCCAGGGCAAGCCATTGAGAAAAGGCGCGCTGTGCGAGAGACAGAGAAAGACACCCCACAAGGAGATGGAGGCAGAGACGGAGACAGCCACAGCCAGAGCCAGAGAGGCGGGAAAGGGGCCGGAGACCTACAGGAACCCCAGGCGAGGCCAAACACGGAGTCAATGCCGGAATCCCGGGGACAGAGCTACTGACCAATCCCCACCCCGGCCTCAACAGCAGTCTGAAACGAAATTCGCCGGACATGGTGTTTATCTCGCAAACATACAAGTAAAATTTATTTTCAAAATAAATTCTTGGAATGGGAGCTATGGTGAATGAGAAGGAATCTCGTTGGATATCTCAAGAAGAGCCAGTAAAGACACGGCAGGCCGAATGGCCTCCTAATGCTCTGTACACGTCGACTGCGGTAAACTCCAATGCTCAGGAAATAACACCTTTGATCAATGTTAATTACAGCCTGTGAACAAACAACTTACTTGGCCTTTGCGAATAAGAAACACAGACATTGTGCTCGTCTCTTTTACAAAAGCCGAGTCAACTGGGTGGGAACAGCACTATTATTTCCGTCCATCCCGGTTCAGGCTAGACACAGGTTAAAAGGAGAAAGATTCTTAAGAACAGTGCCGATGCAAGGTCACAAATTTAAAGCATTGAGTGCTTCTCTCTCTACAGATGATGTCTGCTTCCAATATTTTGTTTTTCGTTTCAGATTTCCCTCATCAGCTGTATCTACCAGTAAGGCAGGGATAAAACTGGCAGCGTGCAATCTATTTTCTTGGTGCTTGTCAACCAACTCCTACCTAGAGAAGCGCCTTTAAACTTTAAACTCACCGTGCTCCATATTCTGGTGCTGCTGGTACCACGGTTCCTCCTCCCGGCGTTCAAAATCCTCTATTATGCTGTCAGTTAACATCTTGCTTTTTTTTTGTTAGGAAGAAAAGTACCGGCTTGGAAAAAAGCTCAATAACGCAGCTGTACCCCAGCTCCGGCTGCTGATGAGCTTGGACGTTGTTACATTTATTCCATGCCTCTATAAAACTAACGCAACGTGGCACTATGTGCCTATGGCCAGCTCCAAGTGCACTACAAACGCAGGGATTCCGCCTGGCCACCGGGGCCCCGCCCCTTTCATTGTAACAATTCAAATGACAACCAATCACTGCGTCCGCACTGCCACCGTGACCGGTAGTGTCCTTTTTTGGAAAGCGTGTATCTGATTCAAGATCTTCAGCCGGTCACCTGCACCTTCATCCTGGAACTGGAAACTTTAGCCTTGCTTCAGTGTCCACAGATGCTGCCAAATTTGCTGGGTATCTCCAGCATTCTCTGTGTTTTTTTCAGATCTGCAGTATTTTGATTTTATTAGAATAAAATACAGAACTGCAGACGCTAAATATCTGAAACAAAAGCAGACATTCTTCAGAACCTTCAATGAAGGGGCACTGACTTTGCTTTCTATCCACAGATGCTGCCAGAGCTGCTGAGTTTCTCCAGCAATTTCTATTTTTGCTTTTATTAGATCCGACAATAACGTTATTATTTATTTCGTTGTGGTGGAGCAGTATAATCATGGATCTAGCTGTTGTGGTGTTGGTTAACGTTTTGGGCTTTTTAAAAATTCATTTCAGGACGTCACTGACTAGGTCAGCATTTGTCCTTCAGCCCTTATCTCCAAGAAGATGCCTTCTTGAACCACTGCTGTCCAATTAGTGTAGGTACACCCAAGGGCTGTTCTGAAGGGAGTTCCAGGATTTTGACCCAGCGACAGAGGGAATGGTAATATTTTAAAATTAGGGGGATGTGTGATTGGAAGGAGAATTTACAGATGATACTGTACCCATGTGCCTGTTGCCCTTTTCTCTCTAGATGGTAGAGGTCACAGGTCAGAAGGTACTGTCAAAGGAGACTGTGTAGTTGGCAGCATGTATCACTGTGGCATATCTCGCCACAGTGAGCTGAAGGTGTTCAAAGTGAATGTTTAAGTGGGGGATGGGGTGCTGATCATGCATTTGCTAGATTGGATTCAAGGGTTTTTTAACCAGTGCTTGGGAAACAGACGTTGCTTAGTGGGTAGCACTCCTTCTTCTAAGGCTTTTCAAGTCCCACTCCAGAGAGTGGGTCGACTTTGTATGTCAATGTCTGGTAAGGCAACAAGGCTGCTACTTAGAGATAGCAAGAACTGCCGATGCTGGAGTCAGAGACCACACAGTGTGGAACTGGAAGAACGCAGCAGGCCAGGCAGCATCAGAGGAGCAAGAAAGTCGACATTTCAGATCAGGACCCTTCTTCAGACAGGACATTAACTCAAAACCTTACCTGCTTTCTCAAATTGATGCAAAATTTCCAATGCCATCTTTCAATGAAAAGCAGAAAGGATTCCGACCCTATATCCTCTTCAATCTCCCCACTCTCACCCCAGTGTAGTCGCTCAGCCAATATCACCAAAACCATAATGGTACCTACAGAAACTCGTCACACTGGAATGTGAGGTAGTACATTTTTGTATGGCAAATCACGGCTGGACTTGAAACATTTAACGGTAGGGTCCTGGGGAATGTTGCTGAATGAAAAGAGATTAGAATGCAGGTAGACAGGATAGTGAAGAAGGCATTTGGTACACTTTCCTTTATTGGTCAGTGCATTAGGTATAGGAGTTGGAAGGTCATGTTGCTACTGTACAGGACATTAGTTACGCCGCTTTTGGAATAGTGCATTCAATTCTGATCTCCCTGCTATAGGAAACATGCTGTGAAACTGGAAAGGGTTCAGAAAAGATTTACAAGGATGTTGCCAGGATTGGAGGGTTTGAGCTATAGGGAGGGCCTGAATGGCCTGGGGCTATTTTCCCTGGAGTCGGAGGCTGAGGAGTGACTAAGAGAAATTTATAAAATCATGAGGGGCATGGATAAGGTGAATAGTCAAGGTCTTTTCCCCAGGATACGGGAGTTCAAAACTAGAGGGCATAGGTTTAAGGTGAGAGGGAAAAGATTTAAAGGGACCTAAGGGGCAACTTTTTCATGCAGAGGGTGGTGTGTGCAAGGAAGGGTCTGTTTCTGTGCATGGAATTAACTGCCAGAAGAAGTGGTGGAGGCTGGTCCAATTACTATATTTAAAAGGCATCTGGATGGGTATATGAAGAGGAAGGGTTTAGAGGGAATTGGGCCAAATGCTGGCAAATGGGAGTCCATTAATTTAGGATATCTGGTTAGCATTGACGGGTTGCACCAAAGGGTCTGTTTCTGTGCTGTACCTCTCTATGACCCTATGATACCCACCTGCCTGTGATGGCAGGTTTAATTGGAGCCTTGCATTTTTATACATGAGCATTTCTCATTGAAGAAGTGGTCAAAGGAACTTATAATAGAAAAAGTTGCCAAAAGAGTACACAGCATTAAGATTTTAAATATTATAGTATTTATATTTTTTACATGGGATACCAGGATCATTATTAATGTTTTGAGTATTGAATCGCACAGTTCTGTCTCCTACTGCCTGAAAAGCAGGAGTATTAACCTTGCTGATGTTATAATTTCCTGCTTGAATGAAAGATTTCATTCTGCTTAGTTAGTTTGGCCAGAATGTAAGTGAATCTGTGTACAGTTACTCATTGTTTCCACATTCACTAATGTCTATAATCATCATCATTGACAAGAAATGGAGCAGCATTTATTTGCACAGTGTGCAGGCTGGCACCTTAAACTTTACAAGGAAGCAGTGAGACCCAAGCCATAGAATTATTTTATTGAATTTTCTTTTTAACATAGCAACAAACATACATGGAAACCCAAGCATAAATAAAGTCATGCTTTAAATTCTGCAATACTTTACACAATTTACAGTAGATTGTAACCAGAATGCATTAATATCTGGGTGGAATCAAAACAAGAAGTCCAGTCCCTTTATTCATCCTCTCAAACTTGCATCTTTTAATATGAAGAATATATCCCTTGGCCCCCATTTTTTGAAATACCAGTCCATGCCAGAGCGTAGCTCTCCTCCAGAGCATCCTAGCTCTGAAATCAAGTACCACAAGAAACCATAACTTGTCTTCTTTCAGATGCCAACTCACCTGTTTTATATTTGCAGCATTTTCTAGAAATTTTCATTTGTCCTAATACTGTCAGCCTAGTTTCACTGGACTTTGACCTTGTCTCTTGCTATGAATATGAGATCCCATCCCCCACAGACGGCTTCACAATGTTATTCAGTCAATCTTTCTCTCCACCCGCACCCAACTCCTCCCCTGCTTTCTGTTGAATTATCATTGAACGAGACTACAAGTAGTTTTCATTCATTTTGGCTTTCTTTAATTCACAGTACACTACTGAGTATTATCACTGGCACTGATGTGGATGACTTTTGAAGCATTGGTTCCCCAGGAGCAAAAGAAAAGTGAATTGAAAAATGAAACAGAATGGTCATAATATCTGCAAGACAGTGAATTGTCTTCTTCAAAGCCACAAAGCAGTGAACTAATTTGTCCCATGGCTTAGACATAGTTTTAAGCATGATCAATCTCTACTAATAACTCAATGGATTAAAGCTAAAGTGCTACAGAACCTTTGAAGAACCTTACACTTTTACATCATCAAAACATCCCAAAGCTATCCACAGCCAACCAAGTGCCTTTAAATGCTGCCACTGTTGTTAATTAGGCAAACACAATAGTCAATTGCACAAAGTCTCACAAAAACAATTAAATTACCGACCATGAGTACTTTTAATTATGCTAGTTGTGGAATGAATATTGACTATGACAAACTGTCCTGCTTATTTTCAAGTGGCACCATGGAGTCAGTTACATCCACCTGAAAGGGAAGGCAGGGCTGTGGTTTATCATCTCATCAAAAAGTGCAGCTCTTCTTCAATACTGCACTGGGACCATCAACATTAATTCTGTGCATAAACAGGACTTGAACCTGCAACCATCTGATTCAGACAATGATAACCCACTCAGAGATAATAAGAACTGCCGATGCTGGAGTCTAAGATAACACAGCGTGGAGCTGCAGGAACACAGCAGGCCGGGCAGCATCAGAGGAGCAGGAGAGCTGACGTTTCAGGTCAGGACCCTTCTTCAGAAATGGGGGAGGGGAAGGGGGCTCTGAAATAAATAGAGAGGGGGGGATTGGGCTGGGGAAGGTAGGTGGAATGGTGATAGCAGGTAGATAGTGGTGGGGATTGCTCAGTGAGGTGGGATGAACGGATAGGTGGGAGAGAAGACGGACAGGTCAAGGAGGCGGGGATGAGGGAGGGGGTTGGTCTTGGGATGAGGCCGGGGCGTGGGGAGGTTTTGAAGCTAGTAGAGTCCATATTGAGACCATTGGGTTGTAGGCTTCCAAGGCAGAATATGAGGTGCTGCTCCTCCAGTTTCCGGATGGCATCGTTGTGACACTGGAGGAGGCCCAGGATGGACATGTCGTACAGGGAATGGGAGTGGGAGTGGGAGTTGAAGTGGTTCGCAACTGGAAGGTGTTGTCGTTTGTCGCGAACCGAGCGCAGGTGCTCTACAAAGCGGTCTCCAAGCCTCCGCTTGGTCTCACCAATGTAGAGGACGCCACACTAGCTTTACTAGCTTCAAAATCTCCCCACCCCCGGCCTCACCCAAAGTCCAACCCTCCCTCTTATCCCCGCCTCCTTGACCTGTCCATCTTCTCTCCCGGCTATCCGCTCCTCCCACCTCACTGACCAATCCCCACCACTACCTACCTGCACTCACCTATTGCCATCCCACCTTTACTAGCTTCAAAATCTCCCCAAACCCCGGCCTCATCCCAAGAGCCACCCTCCCCCTCATCCCCGTCTCCTTTACCTGTCCGTCTTCTCTCCCACCTATCTGCCTCTCCCACCTCACTGACCAATCCCCACCACTACCTACCTGCTATCACCATTCCACCTACCTTCCCCAGCCCAACCTCCCCCTCCCTCTATTTATTTCAGAGCCCCCTTCCCATCCCCCATTTCTGAAGAAGGGTCCTGACCCGAAACGTCGGCTTTCCTGCTCCTCTGATGCTGCCTGGCCTGCTGTGTTCCTCCAGCTCCACACTGTGTTATCTTAACGATAACCTACTAACTGAGACAACCTGGCACTTCCTCACAGTGGGTGAGACCC